CTCTGAGCAAACTGATCTAGTTGTAGATGTCCCTGCCAATTGCAGGGGGGATGGACTAGATGACCTTTAAAGGTCCCTTCCATCCCAAAGCATTCTATGATTCTGTGATTCTGTTCCCTATATGCCAAACCATACAACTAGGCAAGTGTTCGGCTCTGCATGATCTATTGGTGGCACACAAAGGCTTGACTTTATTATATGGCAGGTCAGTATGTTCCACTGTACTTCTATTTCAATTCCTTTATCCAGGAAAGTACTTGTAGAAACAGAGAGATGTTAAGTGATTGTAAATGTAAGAGGTATTTGTATGGGAGATCATGACGAGGAAACAAGTCGATCCATGCTGAAGGAAAAATCTGAGCGCCTCAACCACAAATACTATTTTGAACAATATTCCAACTTAAAATTAAGATAGTTTCCCTTGGGTCTAAATAGTTTGCACACAATAATAAAAGCAAGTTATGCACAGTTTATACAGAACTTGCAACATTAAATACATGATAACCAATAAGTGTTTAGAATTTATTGTAAGCCAAACAATTATGTTTATAATTCAAACACATATTACCATTATTTTTTTTACCAGTACAGTAACGACACTATACCACAGAGTGTTATTTTCAAGTTGAGGAGAAACATACTCATATTCATCAGAATATGCACATAATTTTTATAACAGGCTCCATAAAGTAGTATGAGGTATACATAATATTTGCTCAGTAGCAGAACTCTTAAGCTGATGTTTACATTTTCATATTGATTAAAAATAGATTAAAGGAAAAAGACATGTATAAAAGATACACAGCTTTGTTACTAAGGCAAAACTCACCACTTCTGTGAATTCATTACTTCCTAAGTCCAGTCTCTCCAGCTGAGTCAGTCTGGACATGGTTCTGCACAGGAAGGGAATTAATAAGGAATTAGATTTAAGAAAATATCAGTTACATCCAATCTTCCTGTATTCATACAAATATATTATTTTAATCAGTATTAAGTAGTGATGCTGTTCTGTAACTGGACTGATATCTAAATAAGGTCAAATTTTCACAGACTGTTCAACCAGGCACATATTAATGATCACGCCAACTGTTGACTGTCACACAAAGAGTACACTGCAACTCATCTACAGATTAATTTACAAAAACTAAAGACCACTAGAGTAATCTTTGTGATAAAGAGTAACTCAGTGAAGTTACTCTTCTTTTGAGTGCTTCGGCTTTTCACCTACAGTCACAGTAGGTCTTCTCAGCAGCCAAAGGCTGGTTAACTACATGTTTTCCTCCCAATGAAAGACCACTGCCTAATGATCAGCTAACACAGAAAAGACGACTGTTGAATCACAACAACCAACACCACCTTTATCCCTCTTCAGGCTGCTGAAAAGATTGCTTCCATATGATATGGTCTGGAATCCTAATTATTTCTCTAGTCCTACAACAAATCAGATTGCTAAACTGGATTTTGTGACACATCAATAGTCTTCAAGCCAACTTATGGCAAAGATTAAATCAATGACTGAAATAAAGTAAAATCCATTATTTCAAGCTATGTTTTGGAAAATTCTTCCTCCATATAAAGTTTACTCTGGGGACCCCACAGAGATTATCTACCACTGCACATGGTGGTCTACATGACTGGTACTCCAGTCAACAGCAGTACTACCAAAAAATATTTTCAAAGGGGCTGTGCATCCCTCATATGACATTATGTTCTGTATTTATTTAATAATATATTTCCGTAGAACCATTAATAATATCTAAAACTTTCAAATATAAGCCATAAGTATTTACATACTATAAAATTCTGGAAAAACTGTATGTAAGAGCTTCCAAATGGTAAAGTCTTTTATATTACCAGAATATATGTATGAACACTAATATCTTTAAAAAACATCTGCATGAGTACAAGATGCTCTATGCAGCTATTCAAAGTTTCAGTTGTTCTTCAAATACACTATTAGAGTTGTTCTGAATATACAGTTAAAAAATTACATTCTATTGAAAAATGCCTGATTTATTGAAAGTAAGTTAATGTAATTATTAGTGTTATTCATTAAATACTTGCCAAAAAGCATTACACACAACATTTGTCTACAGATTTGATTTTCATTACATTATAGTAATTACGTTGGGGACAAACTACAAATTTAGCATAAGAAGGTAAAGACATGATCAAGACAAAAGCAGAAGCCATTTTTTGCACTGCACACATAACATACACAAGCTTTAGGGGAAAGCCTTTAACTCACATTCCCACTGTCTCGAAGAGAAAGAAAAAAAATACATGAAAAGGCTACTTCCAGAACAATCTGAGAAACATTTTCTCTCAGTTCTCAAAGCTCATGAACCAGATGATTATCAGTAAGCCAACGGCTAAAATTAATTTTCCAATTCGAACATGAATCCCACTGAAATACTGCATAACCTGAATTTGTGAAAGCTTTATGAGACCAGGCTAATATCAATTTTAGTGCCATATGTTGCTAACAAATTTGCCCCAATGCATCTCCCAGAAGCACAGCTGAAGACTCACTTAAAGGATTAGCATATCATTCTGCAGCTTTCAAAACTTCATGGGCAACACCATATTGTACTTTTACTGATAGCTTCAATTTAAGAAGGTTTTAGATTTCTTATGTTTTCAAGCTATGTTAGCTGGGCTGTGGGCTACTAGAGAGAGCAGTCCAAAACTTCACTGATGATCTAAATTTCAGCCTCAAAAAGTAGATTAAGGGAGACTTACAGCAATGTGGGATTGAACTTGATAATTAGTTTCTCTAAATGATTATTTGAAAAAAATGGCTTATTTTAACATTTTTATAGTCCTTTCATTTCAACAGTTTTAAGACAGTGCCTTGATTTTTATTTGAACTGAATTTTCGGCTTAGAAATAAATACAAATTTTAAAAGTGAAGGAAAAAAACCAGGACCAACAAAATGAAGAAAGTTCAACCTGATTTAAGTGAATTTTGATAAGGCTGAATTGAAACAAAGTCAGACAGGGTTTTTTACTGTGGCTTGAAATGAATAGAATTTTTTTCTTCCAGTTCAACATGAACTCTTCTCCTTTTATTTTAATGGTTTGGTAATGATACACACACACTAAAAAAATAACCCCTCAATCTCCCAGGCCAACATACTCAAAGGTCTGAGTGATTGTTTTTCCTTCCTCCTGCACACCATTCAACTCTGAGGCCAAACTGTTTACAGAGCTAACACAAGATTCACAGAATCTAAGCAATAAAGCTCCCCTCCTCCCCGTTGCCAAATTACACTAGATAAACAAATTCTGCTCCAGTCCAATCCAAGATCTAGGTGCTCCCTTCCCTTCCCCCACTGCTACTTCCTTCATGGCTCTAAGGCAATCCGAAGTTCCCATTCTTGCCTTAAATCTTCACTGTCTTACTGGAAAACAAAAACCTGTTACAGTTTTAACCATTTGGAACTACAGCAAATATCTGCAAATCTCTCTCAGGCATCTGCAAAATTAATGTTATGTAACATTGACAGTAGAGCAAAGTAACTTTACTGATTTGGGGCCCCCTTTTTTTTTTTGCCAAAAAGTCTGTGATCTAGCAAACACATCCACTCAACTGTAAAGCATACACAAATGTGCTTGCAAGACCAGGGCCTCAGTTATTTTCCTCCCCCCTTCCCCACTGCCTGCCTAATCTATAGCACTTTCAGCTATTCTATGACTAATATCTCTTTGCTTTTCTGTATTGTTTATAGAGCAACTATATCTCCAGACAAAATGCAAACAAAGCTTCCAATAATGTTAAAGTAACAGGAAAATTCAATGCTAAAGGAAGAGGAATACAGGACTGGAAACAAAAATTTACTACGTCACTTATTTACACCTATTTCTGTCTTTGCCACAGTGCTACATAATCCCTTCTATAAAATGAAAAATCTGTTTCCTAATTCATATCATTGAACTTACTGTCAAATCAATCCAACACTAAGGGACCAGGTAGTCTAAATTATGCCTCAGATTCTGATGTTGTAAATAAATAGTCAGCTTCATGAAGGTTAACACTACAGCTTACTTCAAGTAGCGTACAATTTAAGAGGTGTGTGTGATAGCAAGATTGGGCCCTGAATCACTGTAATTACACTCTAAAATAACTCGCTTCTTTCTAAAAAGGTTACTCTTTTTATTGACAACTAGGCAATAGACAGAAGCTTTAAAAAAATTGAAAATAAAATTTTTATATTTCCATTGGACCATTTTCCCAACTTTCAGCTACCTATCCGATAAATGACTCTAAAATAGGCTCTGTGTATTTTTGCTTTCCTTTCAGTAGAAATATTTTCATTGAACTGGTTTGCATTATAATACTGCCAGCTTTGCAATCTCTGGCTGTGGATAAGCTCCAAGCAAAATGATGCATTTGGCACAAAGCAACGTTGATTTAGTGTGTTGGCATTAATTACCCATTTTGATTAACAGTATTCCAAGTGCTTTATGCTTTAGTGCTAAAAATTGTGTGCATGTTTAATTCAGCAAGAGGGCTACCTGATTTTGCAGAAGTTTATCCAAATACATTTCTCATTACAAATATGAAAGAATTTGCTGTAAGTATGAAAATATTAAAAAGGTGAGAGTCACAGGGAAACAAGAAAAGGTAGTTATACTCTATAGCAAGAACATTAGCATGCACTGCTACATCGTATTAGCTTCAATGTTGTCTCCCACAGCATTCTCCTGGAGAAGCTGGCTGCTCACGGCTTGGATAAGTGCACTCTGCGCTGGGTTAAAAACTGGCTGGACGGCCGAGCCCAGAGAGTGGTGGTGAATGGAGCCAAATCCAGTTGGCGGTCGGTCACCAGTGGTGTTCCCCAGGGCTCAGTGTTGGGGCCGGTCCTGTTCAATATCTTCACTGATGATCTGGATGAGCGGATTGAGCGCACCCTCAGCAAGTTTGCAGATGACACCAAGCTGGGTGGAAGTGTCGATCTGCTGGAGGGTAGGAAGGCCCTGCAGAGGGACCTGGACAGGCTGGATCGATGGGCCGGGGCCAACTGTATGACATTCAACAAGGCTGAGTGCCGGGTCCTGCACTTGGGTCACAACAACCCCATGAAATGCT